TTAAGATCTTTGAAAGAAATTCCTTTAAAAAAAGAAGAGCAGCTCTCCAGCACATGCAGGGCTGGTGGAGGTGTGGAGCGGCAGCACTGCTGGAGTCCAGTGGGGCCGCGCTTTGGGCAGCTATTGGGCGATATCTGCCGAAGTTGAAGACACTCGGACCCGAGATGCAGTGATTCCGGGAGATGCGCACACGTGCACCGAGAGACAGGCCTGGGGACAGAAGACTTGCTCATCGCACCTCAAAACCGAAGCACCCCAAGGGAGGGGCAGCGGCAGTAGGATGCATAAATAAATTGCGGCACACTCGTCCTGCCTCACGGTGAGCAGCTATGGACACCTCCGGTGGGAGGGAGCGGGTTCAGAGCGAGCAACAGGCTGAGTTTGTGAGATGAAATTTGGCAGGAGGAATAATTGTGAGGTTCAACTTTTGGCTCCAAAAGTACAGGTTTGGGGGAAAGAGTCCCAAACTCTTCACACTTGCTTTGCACAGGGCTTCCTTGGAGTTTCCAGGGGCGGGCATTGGCTGACAGAAAGATGGTGTCGTTTACATTCGAAGATTTCAGGGCCCCAGGAGCAGGTGCGGTGACAAATTCAGCCTTTCTCTGAAAACATCTTCACTTTGCCTTCATTCTGAAGAGGGTTTCACCACATGCAGAATTCCAGCCTGGGTTCTGGCCCCGCAGAGGCTCAGCTGAGCCAGGACTTGAGACTCGGTAGCACACACGGGGCTCCTTCCCATCTGGGCTTTGTCCCTCTACTCCAGCCACACTGGCTGCCCCACCTGACCTGCAGCCACTGTCCTGTGGGCCCAGTAGGCCTGTGACTCCACTCAGACTCTGTATCCGGGGTCCTGGGGGGCTGACAGGGCCGTGGGGAAATGTGGGTGAGTGAGGGTTTCCTGCGGTCCCCCTTGCCTGTCCCATGCCCAGGTACAGTGTTGTCCCCACGAAGACAGCCATACACCCATCCACAAGGAGATAAGCCCAGGTCCTTGCCTGTCACTCACATCCCACGTCTGGCCACCTCCTTCCTTCCTAAGTGCAAGAGGCCGCTGTGTGACCTAGCCCTTCTCCCTGCATAACAAGGACTCCAGCTTTCTTCCCGTAGTAAGCAGAGTCTCCCCTTCTACCATGCGGCCCCTCCCCTAAGCCAGGACAGCATGTTAGGTGGCGATATTTATAGCAAATATGTACTGCACCTGAGCTAGTCACCGTGGAAAAGGCCTTATTTCTGCTATTAGGAAACTCCCCAATGTGGGGTGGGCAGGGACCTCAGCCTGGATGACACAGCCAGCAGGAGATGCCCGCTTGCTCCCCGGAAGCAAGAGCCAGCTTGGCTGCTGCCCCACTTAGCACTCAGCCTTCATCCACACAGCTAGAGCCCACTCGCTGAATGCTACACACAGTGGCCCCAGAGGGACCTAGGGCCTCATGCTGGTGCCCATGCACTGCTGTCCCCATGTCCACCAGGCGGCTGTGTGGGGAGAGCGGGGCTGCAGGCAGAACCCCCAGGGCAGGGAGCCTTTTGCTCTTCAGCCTGTAGCGTCCCTGGATGTGTCCCTGTACTGAGGCGGCCGTTTGAGTTGAAAGAGAGGTAACACCAAGGCATTGAGAATGGTTTCTATGGATTTCTGCAGTCTGTAGCCCACACCCATGGCCATGTGTTAGTCAGCTTGTCATTGCTGGGACGAAAGTACCTGACACCCACAGTGTAAAGAAGGAAAACATTATCTTGGCTCAGAGTTTCAGAGGTTTCAGTCCATGGTGGGCTGTCCCAAGGCAGAAGCATCACGGTTGAAGGGTGTGGTGGAGGAAAGTTGCTTACCTTGGAGCATCTGGGAAGCAGAAGAACAAGAGAAGAAGATGCAAGGAATCAGATCTAGTCCCCAGGGTCACACCTCCAGGAGCCCCCCAAACCCACTATTATCTTACACGATAGGAAACCCCAGTGAGGCTAATGTAGCAGCTTGGTGCCATTCACACACTCAAGTTCTGCCTGTCTGTAGTTTGACACCATTAGCCAGCTCCTCTCATGGTCACAAGAAGGCTGCTATAGTTCCTGATGTTGCATCAAGGCATGAGCTCATTGAGAGCCCACCTTAGGAGTTGGGATCCTCTCCCAGGGCCCCTCTCACATTTCCAAGCTGAGGCCTGCTTCACACACCTGTTCCTTAACCATTATTGGCAAGAAGATCTAGAACTGGAGCTGAGCCAGTTTAGCAGTACAGATAGAATGACCAGGTTATATGAATCAGGCTCTTTCTGGAAGAAGGAAGGGAAGGCCGAGATGGACAGATAAGCAACTGTTGGGTGATCAGCAGCAGAACCCAGGCCAGATTATTCAGGATTACAGGGTGGACCCCCTTTGGGTGCTGCTGATTCCCAGCCCATGGAACCTACAGTTGGAGGCTGCAAGAAGCCAAGAAACAGTTCCCAGGACAAAGGCCGGGAGCCATGTGGGAGGGACATTCACCCCTGCTTTACAGCCCTCCCCACCCTTCCCATCAGTGATGCGCACGCACGCGCACACACACTCGCATGCACGTGAGCTGCATGGCACACAGTGGCTTCTCCATCCCCCAGCGTCTGCTTAATAGGAAACAGGGTTTGGTGGGAACAATTTACGACAGCCTGGGCCCTCAAACTGGAAACATCTGTCCTTGCCATCGCACAGCCCAGCCTGAGTCCTGAGGGGCCCACCCTGCCCGCTGGGGGACCCCAGAACCTTCTGGAGAAGAACACAGAGCCCTCGGCCTGGACCTTCCGGCTCCCAGCTACAACACCCTGCCTCGTGGCCTCCCGGACTCATCGTGCTGCCCATCGCAGGCCATGGAGACGCTTAGGGCTGCTGCTCTCGGTTTTCCCACCTGCTGGGCCGGGGCCAGTAGGGTGAGGTCCCCGATCTCCCTTTCTCACCCCGCCAACTCTGCGCAGGCTCTCCCTGCGTTGCCCTTCCTGTCCCTGTCTGCCTGGTCCCTGTGGAGGCCAGACTCAGCAGCTGTCTTTGTGAGGCGGCCCAGCCCAGGCAGTCACCATCGGCCTCTGCAAGGGCCTGGGCAAACAGCCGGGGCAGAAGTGACCGAATGCTCCCGGGAGCAAAGACCAGGGCCGTCGGGTTCCACACAACGGCCACTGACACCCACATGCCTAGCTGCTCTTGCTGGTCCGACTTCAGCCCCTCAACAGCTCCCTGGGAGAACCCGGCCACCTGGCCTCCTGGTCTGCCCCGGGCCTGTCACCAGCCCTTCCTGAGCCTCAGCTGCCTGGTCTGTACAGATCCCTAGAGGCACAATTGCAGGAACATAACATGAGATTTGCGAAGCGCCTGGCAGTGGGGGCTTAGCAGGTTGGGGTTCACAGCTGGCCCTGAAGGCTACTGGGCTGGACTCACCTGATGACCTCACAGGAGGAATTTCCCTGAGTGTGTTTTGGAGCTGGGAGCTGGGGCGGGGAGCACCTAGGCCCCACAGCCTGGTGGGCTGGGGTCTTATGGGAGGCTGTCTATTGCGGTGGGGGTGGGGAAGGTACAGGAGAAACTGCTTGTGTCCTGGCCACCCTGAAGGGATGCACCCCAGTGATCCAGTTTAAGTCCAGCCTCCTGCAGGAAGCCGTTGTGCACCAGTCCAGCCTTCCTGGGCTCCCATGGCATAACCACTGCCCTGTGCCCTGTTCTGAGAGAGAAGGCAGCTCCTCCAGCCTCGTGGGGCGACGACCTCCACTCTGGTCACCAGGACCCCTCGGATCAGCCTGGGGAACGCAGGATGGATCATCGTCCCTGCTACACAGACAGGAGACTGAGGCATGAGGAGGGCCAGGCCACATGCCAGTGCTGCTTCTGTTTCTTCTCTGTCCCACCTGCTGCCTGAGGCACTGAGGGGGGCTGGCACCCATGGGGCTGGATGGGGGGTGGGGAAGGGTGCCAGGCCTGGGGCTGGGGGCGCTGAGGCTCAGGGCAACAGGGGCACAGAGACATTTGCACCCAGCCCCCACCCAGCAGGATGGGAAACACCCCGATTCCAGCTGCCCCTGTCGGAGAGCAGGAGGCCCAGACCCAGCCTCCCCCTCTGTCCAGAGACCAGGAGACCAGATGTACCCAAGGCGGCCATTCCAAAACGCACACATCTTCAAAGCAGGGCTATTTTCCATGTCCTTTGGGCAATTTTAGAACAAGTCTGTAAAACTGGAATTTTAATGGATGACATATTTGCATGTGTGTGCATGTGTGCGCATCTGGTGGCTGCTGGGGCAGTGGCCTCTAAAGAGGTGCTGTGCCTTCAAGGACACCCAGGTTCACTGCTGGTGCAAAGGAGCTGCACCCTCAGGACCTGAGGGTGGGTGGTTGACGGCCAGTCAGGGGTGTGGGCAGCCCGAGGCCTCCTGATCTGAAATCACTGTCCCAGCCAGCCGACCTGCAAGTGCCCACTCTCTTGTCTCAGCGGGAACCCCGGCTGTTCGAGCACGTGGGCCACCCTGACAAAGCCCAACTGTGCCTCCCAGGACAGCCCTGTGTTTCCTCACAGCTCTGTAGATCAAGATGTCAGCAGAGGTGACTTCTTCAGAGGCCTCTGTCCTCAGCTTGAAGACAGCAGCCTTGCCCCATCATTGTCCCTCTCTGTGATTTTGTCGGAGTCTCTTCTCATGAGGACACCAGTCAGACTGCAGTGGGGCTTGGCCTGATGAAATCACATTCCTCTAATCACCTCTTTAAAGACAGGCCCATCTGAGGTACTGGGGGTTGGACTTCAAGGTCTAAATTTGGGGGACACAATTCAGGCCATAGCACCAGACACCATCCCTGAGTTTGCCCTGCATGGCCTGACCTTCAGCACCTTCATTTTGAGCGTATCCTTGCTCCCCTCTTTACTAGGTGCCCCCCAACACACACACACACCGGCCCCCACACTGACACTGATGTGCTCACGCCCAGGGCGGGGCTGGGCCCCTCCCTCTCTGGTTAGGAACCTGGACACCCCACCCCGCTCCCTGAGACCCTCAGACGCCATGGCAGCCGCACTGATTGACTCAGTGCTCTCCCTGCAGTGGCCGTGCCCTCCACCGAGCCCCCTGACGGCTCTGCTCTGGCCCGAGCACCCTTCTCCTCCCCCACCCATCCTGCCTAAACCAGCCCCTCACCTGCTGCCTCTCCCAGCGCCGCCCACCCACCTCTTGCTTCCTCCACTCCTCCCCCGCCCCAGATGCATCTTGCCTGTGGATCTGTTGGCATCTGTCCACTGTGGAGGCACCATGAGGACAGCCCCAGCCCCAGGGATGTCTCCATCCTCTGCCCCACAGTGCCCAACTCACGCCGAGGAGGAGCCGTGAGGTCGCTGTGCCCACACAAATGCACATGAGAGCTGATGTGGGCAAGGGGTTGGGGGCCAGAAGATGGGCCTGGGGACAGTGGAATGACCAGACGGAGGGGACTGAGCCACAGGCGGTCAGGAGGAAAGGCAGGGCCAAGGGAAGGGGCTGAAGGCTGAGAAGGAGGCGCATCTGGAACACCGACTTGGGAGACACAGAATGGCGGCCCTGGGCATGAACGGTACAAATAAGCTAAGGCGGGGATCCATGCAGAGGGGGCTCCCCTTCACGGGGTGATGGAGAGACAGGAACCCATTAGGGGAACCGAGGCGCAGGCAGCCGGGGGAAGGCTAAAACCAGGAGGGAGCAGGGTGTAGAAGCCGAGGGCCAGGTGTTTTCAGAACACCCGAGTGGAGGCTGGGAGGTGGAGGCAGCTGTTTCGTTACCTGCACCTCAGAGAACCCCCACACTTGACAGCTGCAGCCAGCCGCTGTGTGGCCACAGTCTGTAGCTCAGAGGATTGACAGGGAGTGCAAGGGACAGCCCGCTCCTTGCCCAGGACATCCGGGCTCACTGGCAGCACTCCTGGGGTGACTCAACGGCCAGGGCCAAGGTGCCCAGTGATGTCGTCATCTCAGGGGGAGGGAGAGGTAGGCAAGTTCCTTGGCTCAGCTGAGGCTGGTGGTGAGAACTGCTCCCCACGGCCTGGGCTTCCTCCCAGGACCGAGGACCCAAGCAGGGAGAAGTGAGGTGGGAGCTCAGTGCTCCACGCAAGTGTCTAGCAAACATCACCAGACCCTTTTGCAAACCTGAAAGGGGAAAGTGAGTATAGCAGAGGGGCCTTAAGAATACACAGTAGTGCAGGCCTGTAATCCCAGCTCCTTGAGAGGCTGAGGCAGGAAGGTCAAAAATTGGAGGCTAGTCAGGGCAGCTGAGCAAGTCAAAATAAAAAGGGCTTCTTGTACTCAATCCCCAGTAATTGAAAAGAAAGAAAGCAGAAGAAAAAGAAGAAGAAAAAAAAAACTATGCTGCTGATGAAGTGCGCCAAAAGGGTCTGGGGATCCAGCTCAGTGGTGTAGCACTTGCCTAGCATGCACAAGGCTTGGTTTCAATTCCCAGCACCACAAAAAGAAAAAGGAGTAGAATCAAACAAAACAAAAAAACAAAAAAGGACCCTGGAGACAGACGGCCTGGGTTCAAATCCCAGGTCTGGCACACACGAGCTGTGGACCATCCGGGCTTCGATCCTTATCTGCAAAACAGATGTGATAACTGACCTGCACACAGCTGTGAATGAGGCCTGTGCTCAGTGACAGTGACACACATAGCGCAGGGCGATGCCTTCACGGTCCCACTGCACTGTGTGAGCATTTATTTGTGTATTTGTTTGTGCCCTGGGGAGGGGTGTTTTCAAGGTGGGCGAGGCCTGCAGGCCTGTTTTGGGGGGGGTGTTCAGCTGTGCGGCAAAGTTCACATTGGCGAGGGATGGACAGGGTCATGGTGAGCAAGAGCCAGGCTGACCACAGTGTGGGAGTCAGGCCCTGTGCGTGCAGGAAGCGGCTCCTCTCATGGGGCCAGGGCCAAGAGCAGGGGCCTGACCAGGTCCCAGTTAGGGTCAGGGCGGTCTTGATCTTCGGGAATGTGGAGCAGGCCCTGAGCGGGGTTCCAGCAGGTAGGCGGTTCAGCACTTCCTCTTGAAGCCCTGGCCCCAGGTCCCCGCCACCCTTTTCCTTCACAGTTGCCATCTTCAAGCAGGGAAGAGGAAAGGCGAACCCATCAGGATGTTGGTGTGAATGCCCCCTCAAATGCTGTGTGAGCAGCGTGCGTGCAGGTGCAGGGGTGTGTGTGTGTGTGTGCATGCGTGTGTGTCTGCACCCCTGGGAGCTCAGCAGGCACAGCTCATGCAGTCGCACTTGACAGCCCCAACTGTGGTGGTCTCTGCACACCCCAGGCCTCCCATGGGCCAGGTGAGCTCCCAGAGGCCAGGCCAGCCCCCACCTTCCAGGCCACCTACCTGAGCTGGCCAGGCTTGCCGCCCTGCAGGATGGGCAGAGCCAGGGGAGCCCGCGCCTTCCCCCGAGGCGCCCAAGTTCTTGTCTAGACCCTTGGCACTCCCACAGTTCTAGTGCACACTATGCACTTCCCATTGACAGCCCAGGGACAGTGGGGCCCAGGGCGGTGTGACCTGGACTCTGAGACTCTGGCAGGGCCCCATCCCTCTTACCTGAGTCATGGAATTCTCCGGGAGCAGGCAGGGCAGAAGTAAGCTCACTGCCACAGCCACCCCCAGCCCTGCCAAGGGGCAGGGGAGGGTGTGTCCCCGCCCCGGGGCAGGCAGCTGAGCTCATGTTTCCTGGAGTCCTCTGACCTGGAGACCCAAATGTCTGCAGCTCAGGCTTCCTTATGGATGCTGAGTGTCCTTGGACCTCAGGTCCCTGCCACTGTCTCCCCCGACCATGGTCAGAGCCAGGGGCCTGGGCCTGAGTGAGGGTACTTGGGGTGAGGGGCACTGGTGAGCTATAGCTATGCAGTCACCTCAGCCAGAGGAGCGCAGACCTAGTTGGGCAGTGCTGGGGGATGTGCTGGGAGGAAGTCACGGCCCACGGTGGGGTTGTGGGCCGCGGGCCACACTGGCTCTGGTGCGGGTCTGGGACCCGCACAGGTCAAACACCCAGCTGCTTTGCACCGCAGGCCTTGTCCTGTCTTCTGTCCTGTCAGGCAGGCTCCCCACCACCCCCAAAACAGCGGTGGGCCACCCATGGCTCACAACAGGGAAACTAAGGCCTCAGGCAGTAACTCTGGGCTCCAGGTCACAGGAGACCTGAAAAGCTCAAAGTCAGGTGCCCTGCTCCAGAGCCGCCTTTGATGGATGGGGAAGAGGAGCAGCTGAAGGTGGCACCAGGGTGGAGCTAGGAGGGGTTCGGGGAGGTGACTCTTTGGGGGTGGGTGTGCAAAGAGTGGCTCTTTCTAGGCCTGCTGCCTATCACTATGGACATGCTCAGAATCCCCTGAAGACAGCGCTGGGTTCCAGGGAGGCCAGGCCTGGGACATCCAAAGGAGTTCCTCTAAGGCCAGGACAACCCCAGACACCAGCACCTTCGGAAATTCTGAGGACTGGGAGGGCAGAGGGAGCAGCTGAGTGAGGCTGAGTGTGACGGTGCAATGAGGGCTTTGTGAGTGCTCCTCAGCGGACTTCAGCGGATGAAGTGCTGCGGGGGACGAGACAGGCAGGGCACCCCATGAGGGAGGGTCCCCTGGTCCCCACGAGATGAATTTGGGCAGGGTGTGAAGGCGGCACTGCCCAGGTAGAGACCCGCTGGGTTTCCAGCCCCTGGCAGCAGAGCCCCCAGGGCAGGAGATAAAGGGGATTCCCGGGCCTGCTCTGCCTGTGCCTGAGTGGAGGCCGCTGAGCAGGCACCAGGAATTTAGGGTGCGGAAGGCTGGGCCCCTGCTTCTGAAGCCTGGGCCTTAGAGGAGCTGGAGTTGAGCTTAGACACAACCATCCACTCCTTCCCCACATCTGGGCCTTGGTTTCCCCAGTAGCACCTGGAAAGGTAGGTGCTGACCTGCTGCAGGCTCCCCACTGGAAGCCACCGTGTGACCTCCCAGGGGTGTGGGGGTGACTGTTAGACCATGTGGATGCTGGCAGGGGAGGTTGGGGTCGTGGGTAGTCCAGATTCCCCCTAAGGTGACCTTCCTGTGCTAACTGTCCTGATTGCCTTGGGTTTGGTGAAGGGGAGGGGAAGGCTCCCATTTCCTGAGACTCTGGTCCTGGAGGCACCTGCAGGTGAACTCTCTCTCCTGGGCCTCAGATTCCTTCTCCTTCACAGCGGCCCTGCCTCATGCACTTGGGCTGTCCCTGTGAGCACTGAGGTCATGGCTGGTTAGCCAGGACGCCCCCAGGAGGAGGCACCCTAAATACCTCCTCGGCTGGTCTTTGTTAGGGCCCAGGAACCCCACGTGCAGAGTTCGCAGGCGGTGGTGCATGAGTCACCCCAGAAGATGGGGTGGGTCCTGGGGACCAGGTGCATGCGGTGCTGAGAATGATATCCCAGCCAGCCCAGAAGGGGCTCCCCAGCCCCGGCTCCCAACCTGGGCTGAGGCTGCTCTGGCTCAGCCTTTCCCCCTCCTCTCCTCCCAACACACACAGATGCACATAGCCTGTCAACCCCAGGCAGTAACACTTACTGAGCGCCTACTGTATGCCAGAGACAGCTGTGACAAGCCCACCCGGGGGTGGCCATGAAAGAGGGCAGGTTCTGCCCATGAAGCTGCCCCTCCCCAAGGAGAGGCAAAAGGAAGGGGAGGACACAGGTAGACGCAAAAAGAGAAGACTCAGCGCTGTCACTGGGGCCGAGACAGAGGCAGAACTGGCCAGACGAACCTGGGCCACAGCTGCCTGGAGTCCGGGTCTCCTGAATGCACAGCTGTGGCTCAAGCTCTACCCCATGCCACGTGTGAGCTGGAGCTCAGGGTGCAAGGGCAGCCACTGCTCCCTGGCTGAGCTGGGGCAGGACAGCCGTGGTGACCTCCAGATCGGCCCCTGCCAACCCTCTTCCCTCCTCTGGCCAGGTTAACCAGGAGGATGGTGCAGCCACAGACGGAAGGGCTGTGTCCACTCACATGGGTCCGAGGCTAGGCTGGGAAAGATCTTTATCTTCTGAGGGGACCATGCTGTCCCACTTGAGCTTGCTGGGAAGCTGAGGACCTCGATCAGCCCTAGTGGGGAGGAGAACAGCCTGAGCAAGGGAGGGACAATGTACCCTCTCATTGTTTCCTACACATTCTTATAATGCCTGAAAGTTTTGTATGATAAAAACTGCTCAGCAAGCAAGGAATAGAAGGGAATATCCTCAATCCAATGAAGGCTCCTGTAATCCCAGCTCTTCAGAAGGCTGGGGCAGGAGAATCTCAGGTTCAAGACCAGCCTGGACAGTTTGGTGAGACCCTCTCTCAAAATAAAATAAAAAAGGGCTGGAGCGTAGCTCAGCAGTAGAGTACTTGCCTAGTACGTGTGAGGC